TGTCACCGATATATATATATACACCGGCAAACGCTTCTGGACTGAGTTACATTCGAAGGAAACTATGTGTATCAAAATGAAACCATCTTATATCATTATAATGCGGTTTTATTGTTCATTTGTTAGTGAAAGAAAATTGGATATGCAATATATTATGTCTTCTCGTTACTTGGATGTTTAAGAGACTGATGGGGTAAAATCCTAGAATAGTCCACCTCTTGGCGACTTTTTGAAATCTCGGCAAGTTGGTGATTATTGCTGGTATTAACTTTGCTATTTGATTATTAAAAAAAACAAACAATTTAAATAATTACAAATTTACCGTCACTCGCCATTTTCAACAGGTACAACAACAAAAAAATGAACTAATAATGATAATAAATGAAGTAACGGTTAAAAAATTTAATACAGATCTGTTTTTAATTTAAGCGAGTCATTAGCAATGAGCAGCTCCATCTTTTTATAAACTTGCTGAAATTCAGTATCAGTCTTTAGATTTTCATCAGGAACTTAACATATTGGTTTTCAAATCCTACCTTCGTGTTTCAAGACGTCACAAGATACTTTTCTTTCGTCAGTATTCATATTTATATTAAAATCAACATCAAGACTGTAATTATAAGTTAATAATGAAAAAATATACAAATACTTTAAATTATTATTATGTAAATACATAAAAAATGACTGTTGGTGTGAATAAAAAGAAATAAAACTTATGATACGTTCATTTTCAAACCAATGCTGGCTAAAGAATACTATTATAATTTTTAAAAAAATAATTCTCAAACAGCAGCTGTCGCCATAGCAACGCATGCAATGACGACGCATGCGCGCTGTTTTCTATTACTTTTGAACACATCTGAAAAGTATGATGACGCCCAAATAAGGTGCGCACGCCATCAAACCAAAACCAATACCCATTTTTCCAATGGTTAATAATAACTATGATTCTAATAGTAATACATCAGAAGCATAAATGGGAAAAAAATTAACCCTTTTACCTCGTTTCTAACGAAATCCAACTTTCGCGTACATATACATTTCAAATAACCTACATAACCTACATACGTAAGCATATCATAGTGAGGACAGAGCTGCTCCTACCTTATAAAATATTTTTCGTAATAGTTGGCAACCCTGGTCGGTTCCCGATATTTTGGTCCCGTTACCATTCCGGTCTCTTCCCGATTTAATACCGTTACTAATTCGACTTGTTTATTTTGATGTGGGGATTTCATTCGATTTCTTACTTTTTATTACAGTGCTTATGTTTCAATGCTCCTAAATATGTAGATTTTTTTAAAAATTTATTATATTAATTATTCCTTATTTCTAGTCGCAGAAAATCAAGACAAAGTGTTATGGGTGGAAAGAATAAAATTAAGCACCATCTTTTGCATTCTATCAATCGAGTAATTGTGAATGGGGGTCAGGGACAACCTCCTTCTCAAACATATGAAGTCCAAAAATAAATTTGCATTATTTATGTAATTTTAATGAATTAGAATTTTAAAATTTTGCAAATAAATCAATCAATTCTTGCTGTTCTGTCTGGTAACTGTTTTCAAATCATTCCCACTTAAAAAAATATTTGAAAAGAGGTCAGCTAAAAATTAATATAATCGAAATAAGAATCATTAAAATTATATTTGAATGTTTAGCATGTTAGGAAACCTTTTATTTTAAATTTCCATATGCGAAAGAGAAATGGCAAAAGAATGAATTTTAACGGGACCAAAACATTTTACTTCAGCCCTGGCTGTGTTAATAAGATGATATACTTGCGTGGGGTTACTTTTCATACCTCTGAGGGTTTATTTTGTGTATCTTTGACTATAGACGTAATGGTGTGGGATTACTTTGTCCACCTCAAGTGTGTCACAATAAGTGTCACCGATTATCAAAATGATTAGTATGTCATACTGTTTCTAGTCAACGCCTCTTATAACTAAAAGTCTCCACACGCTTTCTAATCTGAAGTAGTCTGATTAGACCACTATAAATGTAAATCAGTATACGAAAAAGTCATTTAATTAAAAATCTAGCTTAAATAAAAAAGTGGTAGCAAATATATGTCCAAAAATTTGTTTAATTTATGAATATAATTGGTTTGTATTATTTACTTGTCAACCACTACAAATTCAATTCTTAAATATATAGAATAAATTTCTCTTATTTTCTTTTAAAGAATTAGTTGGAGCCCCTAGCGGGGCTGATGCTAAAATAACCAACACGTATGAGTTCTTTTAAAATACATTTAATTACGCTTCGGCGATTTATCGTATATTCCCACTCAGATGAATTAGTTAGCGCCCTTTGAGGGCTGATGCTAAGAAAACTACCACATATGAGTACGAGTTCCTATAACACGTTCACGCCGGGTGTTGCACCTGAAAGCGGGACGGAAAAGAGAAAATACTGGTAGAATAACTATTTCAATATTCTCAACAATGACAATTCACTGTAAGGAAATTTACCACAGCGAAGAAGCAATTCAATATAAAAATTGCATCCGTTAAAAACAATTGGTAGTTATGGATTTGTATTATTCCCGGAAAAAAAACAAAAAAATGAATTTTATTTGTTACCAGTTTTTACTCCGGTGCGCCGCCCGATGAGACAATCTAGCGTGACCCATCGGTAGGTCACCCCAGCGTGAACGTGTTAAAGTAGAATTTGGGTTTATCAGCACAACTGGCATAATTACAAATAATGTATATATGGTATAATAAGTAACAGATAGTCTGCGCAGACTACTTTCAAAAACGTTGTGGATGCTTTCTGATGTAGGAGGTGATGATCTAGTAGATGTATGGAGAATAAAAGAAATTTTTATGACTTATAACAGGTTATGAGGAGAAAAATTTATAAGACGGACCACTCATTTAAAAAGGAGATGATTTATTTTTATTTATTTTAATTATCGCTTAATGTGATTTCAAAGTTTTATTTTTAATTAGACGGAGCTACATGAGAGCCGTCTGTCATTGTGGAGGTTACAAAATCTTCTGCCGGTTGGGGCGCTGACGCGCATGCGCGCCAACATCCCGCCCGGCCTTGCAATGTTCATGCAAGAACTTAACATATAAAATTTAAAAAATAAACACAAATATTACATACTTGACAATATAAAACATAAACATTATAAAATGTAAAATCAGAATATATACATAATGAAAAATACAGTATTTTTTATTTTTTTATGTATCGATAGGCAAGACAGCTATTTTAGAAGCAGCTCTTTTAAATACCCCAGATTTTGTGCGAATATTTACTACACGCACTTTATTATCCGAACCATGATAAACATAAATTATTCGGCCTAAAATCCAGGTATTTAAAGGCAAGAAATCTTCTTTTACAAGTACCATCTGTCCTATCTTTAAATCATTTTTTGTTACCATCCATTTTGATCTAGCTTGTAATGTATTTAAGTAATCCGACTTCCATTTTCCCCATATAAGTTGCACAACTTTTGCAGTTTTCTGCCACCGACTTAGACGATTATCATTGAGATAAGTTAAATTTGGTTCGACAATTGATGTTATAGGCCTCCCTATTAGGAAATGACCTGGTGTTAAAACATCAAAACTATCATTATCACCGCTTAAGGGGCAAAGGGGACGACTATTCAGAATTCCTTCGATTTGAATAACTATTGTTTCCATCTCTTCTTAAGTGAAATGAAATTTTCCAACTGCTCTTTTAAGATGATGTTTTACTGATTTTACACCCGCCTCCCAAAGACCACCAAAATGTGGTGATTTTGGTGAAATAAAATTCCATTCTATGCTTTCAGAGGTAAAATAATTAGCCAAAATCTGATCTGGAAAATTAATTAATCCATAAAACTTTTTTAATTGAGAATTAGCTCCAACAAAATTAGTGGCATTATCAGTATAGATTTTGGAGCATTTTCCGCGTCTACTCGTAAATCGTTTCAATGTGGCAATCATCGAATCGGAAGTCAAATCAGTCAGCTGTTCAAGATGGATGGCTTTTGTGGAAAAACAAATGAAAATACAAATATATACTTTGTTGAGAGTACCCTTACGTTGATGTTTATATTTAACAGCAAAAGGGCCGCACAGGTCAATTGTGACGGAAAATGGGGGTGACATGTTGACTCTTTCACTTGGTAAATTACCCATAATTTGAGTGGAAAGGAAGGGCTTAGATTTGAAACATGTTACACATTGATGTACAGTTTGACGTGCAAGATTACGGCCTCCTAAAGGCCAAAATTTTAACCTAACTGCACTTAACAAACCTTGAGGGCCAATATGAAGTAATTTCCTGTGTAAACAATCGAAGTAAATTTTACTTAATTTGGACTTTTTCGGTAAGATTGTCTGATGCTTTTGATCAAAGGGTACTGAAGCATTATCGAGCCTTCCACCTACTCGTATTAAACCGTCCCCATCTACAAAGGGATTTAAGCTAGAAATGTTGCGAGAAAAATTGTTCTTATTTACCAGTGTCTTCTGAGAATGCTTAATCAGGATACTTTCAGAATACTTTACCTCGTCAACTGTCAAGGGTCCCATTTTCTTATCCTTATGTTTACAATTATGAAGAAATCTGCAAATATAACACAAAATATGATTAATTTTATCATAATTATTTGAGAGTTCTAAAAGTTTATCAATCAGGGTCTGTGAATCATCAGTTATCAAAACAGTCTCTTCCGTACTCTCGGTTGAGGAAACACTTTTTGCTTCTCGGAGAATTGTTTCTTTTTCGCCTTCTGCAAGGGATTCTATATCAGGAAATGATTGTTCCAAAGTTTCTTGAAAATCAGATTCCATCAGAAATTCAGCACCTGTCCACCACCTGGAACTATCAACCAAACATTCAGCACTAATTCCACGAGAGAGAATATCTGCAGGATTATCTGTACCTGCACAATGGTGCCAGGAGTTTGGATCTGTCGAAGTGGCTATTTCTTTAACTCGATTAGCAACGAATTGTTTCCAATGAATTGTCTTTCCCTTTATCTAGTAGAGTGCAATTTTAGAGTCAGTCCAATGATACGCAATTGAAGACCTTTTCAGATTCACAATCTTTTTCACTTTGGATATCAAGCGAGATGCAACTAGAGCTCCCAGCAATTCCAGTCTAGGCAGAGTCACACTATTCAAGGGAGCCACTCGGCTTTTAGCAGTCAAAAGTCTAACGATCGGTCCATTTGGTGTGTAAACTTTCTAATATACTGTAGCACCGTATGCGTTCTTACAGGCGTCACAAAATCTATGAATCTCGACGATATCATCCTTGGATATAGAATTAAGAACCAGTCTAGGTATCTTAAGATTTTCTAAAAAAGGTATCTCTTCACACCATTTTATCCATTCTTTCTCTATTTTCGGTGGCAAGGATTCATCCCAAGGAATTTTTTCACTCCATAATTCTTGGATCAGACATTTCTTTCGTATGGTGAAGCATGAAATTAACCCTAAAGGGTCAAATATCTTCCCTATAGCCTGGAGTATCGAACGTTTTGTACTTTTGATTGAGGAGACGAATTTTAGGAGACTTCTGGTATCTACAGAAAAATAATCTTCACCGGTGTTCCATAAAAGTCCCAACACTTTAGTCTGATTGGAACCCAGACTAACACTAGCGTTTACAAGATGAGTATCTAGTCCCTCATTCTTCCACTGCTCCATCAAATCAGCATCATTAGTTATCCACTTCCTTAGAATCATTCCAGCAGCTTCTATTACTTTATTTGCATCTTTAGATATTTCTAATGCTTCATAAAATTCATTGCTACCGGAAATAAAAGCATCTACATAAAGATTTCTATCTAGAAGTTGAACGATAACAGGAAGATCATTTTCATATTTTTTGATATGGTGCCTAATAGTAGCAGCGAGTAGAAATGGACTTGAGTTGACTCCAAAATTCACTCTATTAAAATGGAAGATAATTATTTTGGGATCTTTAGAAACACTTGGCTCATCATTGCTCCAAAAGAATCTTACTGCGTCTTTGTGTACCTCAGCAAGACCTATTTGAAGGAAAGCCTGCTTCACATCAGAACAGAAAGCTGTTCGGTTGAGTCTAAATTCAATAAGTACATCCAGAAGATTCGGGTTTAAATTGGGCCCTGGCCACAAACAGTCATTGAGAGAGAGTTCATTGACCTCGTGCGCCGCAGCGTCAAACACAATTCTTAACGATGTTGTTAAACTTTCTTTTTTAACGGCCATATGGGGTAAATAAAATATAGGTCTTTCACATTCATCCTGTATACTATAAGGTTTAACTATTTCTATAATGCCTTGACTTGTATAATCCTGTATAATTTCACGGTATCTATCATAGAGATCCGGGTCATGCGTAAATCTTTTCCATAAACTTCGGAAACGTTGTTTCGCTAAAGAATAATTATCAGCAAGTTCATTATAGTCTTTTGTAAATGGAAGTTGTACTATGTAACGACCGTCTTTGAATTCAACAGTTTCATTAAATATTTTCATGGCCTGATCATTCTCTTGTAAAATTGGATCGTCTTTAATCCCAAGCCCCTCCAAATCAAAAAACAGTTTTAGTGTATCTTGTAGCGAATCATTTTTAGTTAGAAAACAATATCTTTCCTGAGTAATTTCGCTTTCTTTAAGTTTACCGCAAGCTATCCACCCCAAAGACGACTCTTTAAAAAACAGATCATCATTTATTTTATACGTATTTTGTTTCAAAACCTTGAAAACAATATCAGAACTTATTAACGCGTGCACTTTAGTAGCTTCATAAAATGACTCATCGGCTAATTTCAAAAAATGAGGAATCTCTATTTGCGAAATGTCTAAAGTAGTGGGCGGTATGAGCCCCGTAATATTATCAACCACATAAAATTCAATTAATTCATTAAAACTAAAATCTTCATTCGAAATTGATGTAGTTAATTTCCAATTAATGTTTTGGATCTATCCGTTTAAACCTGAAATCGGTGTTTTTATTTTCTCTTTTTTAATTCCTAATAAATCGCTCATATTTTTCTTTAAAACGCATATATTAGAAGCTGAGTCAAGGATCGCTTTTATTTTTATTCTCCTACCATCTGCACATGTAATAAAAATTTCAGCAGTTGAGAGCAAAACGTATTTTTTGTTTTGTTTATTAGTGGCTACACTTAAAACCGAAGAATTGGGATTTGATGGATTACTGGTAGAAGAAGAAGGAAGTGGCACGTGATCAACTTCACTTTGAGACCGCAAATGATTCATATTCATAGAATTAGAAGAAGAAATATTTGATTCAGTTTTTTTCAAATTTAATTTTGTGCAAATTAGCTTAGAATGTTTTAAAGAGTAAGGACACCGATATGGAGAAATACATTGGGCTTTAGTATGATTTTTTTTCAGACATATTTCGCACAATTTATTAGCACGAATTATCTTTATTCTTTCATCATTGTCAAGATTCAAAAATAATGTGCAGCGAAAAATGGAGTGCATGCATTGTTCACAAAGAAAGCAATTCTTATTTTTATTTTTGTTATCGTTTTCAGACACTAAAAGAGTTTTAGGTTTAGAGGGAAACATTTAGTGCTTTTTTATTTTTGTTTCGTAAGAACAGTTTCTATCTACGGATTCAGCTTCCCGTTGCTCTAAAAAGGTTATGAACTCATTGAGAGAGGGAATTTCTTTTGTTTTTTGTAACAATTCAAAGTTTTTACGAGATTTTTTATCGAGTTCCTTACATCGAGTACATTATAGTTTGTAAAAATATATCAAATAGAGGATCTTGATTATATTTTAACACCTTTAGAGCTCTTAAATTTTTATTTAAACAATCAATCATGGCACGAATTTCTTCAGCATTTTCTTTTTCTATTTTTTTAAAATTCAAAATAGATTGAATGTGTATATCTGCGACTAATCTTTTATTGTCATATCTTGAAATTAATGCTTCATATAAAGAAGTAAATGTATCAAAGGTAGAAGCAAATTCTTTCACTTCATTAGCAAGACAAGAATTTAAATAATATAGCTTCTGTGTTTCACTGAGTTGACAGTTAGAAGAAATTAAATCATCAAATTTATTCTTAAAACTAGAAAAATGTTCATATTTTCCAGTAAATATAGGAAGATTAACTGGAGGAATTTTTAATACAGTTTCTAAGTTATCATTTAGTTTATGATTATTCTCCGTCTTGTTATTAGAATCAGAGTTCAATAGTTTATTTGAATTTATTAATTTCAAAATTCCTACCTCTAAATTATCCAACCGTTCATCACACTGATTCAAATCAGTATCGATGGCTTCAATATCACCAGGTTGGATGTCCAAGTTGTAGTATTCTTGTCGCAATGACTGAACTTCTATTTTTTTAAGACTTCTACACATTTAACTCCGTGATATCACGTAGGTCACCAATTTGTAAAAAGTTTTCTAGGCTTTCTACCTTTAAATGAAGTTCGTGATCTATTTATGATGGCTTAGCCATTGTTCTGATTCAAACTCCGAAGTTCGACGGAGCCAGATGAAGAGAAAAATTTATAAGACGGACCACTCTTTTAAAAAAAGAGATGATTTATTTTTATTTATTTTAATTATCGCTTAATGCGATTTCAAAGTTTTATTTTTAATTAGACGGAGCTACATGAGAGCCGTACTGTCATTGTGGAAGTTACAAAATCTTCTGCCGGTTGGGGCGCTGACGCGCATGCGCGCCAACAGGTTATGAAGAGCTATTGAAACGGAACAAAACATTCAATGGCGAAAACGTGATGAAAAAACCTCGAACTCGAAAACCCTTTGACTAGTTTGTAACATTACTTGAGTTATTGACTGGCAAAATTTTAAACATTTGTCATATATCTGACTTCTCATTCACCCAGTTGGCAGATTACTTATTTATTAACCAGTTATTATTATCGATTTGAACTTATTAATAACCAGAATAAAACTAAATATATGTTTTCTATTAGAAATTGTCACAACCCACCTCATTTTTTGACTGGAGTTTATAAATTCGATTAACTGAGGAATTCTGAAATCAACTTTTAATTGAGACAATGATATTTTATCTGAAATAAAGACACGTTTAATTGTAGTTAACAAGACTTTCTATGGATTAGGATATCTATTCAGATCTTACTCTTTAGAATGACGAAGTTTTGTTGTATAAGACACTTATCCGTCTCCTGTTCTGACTCACGCTTCAGAAACCTGGATAATAGCTGTAAAGGAGGAAAAGATTTTTGGTACCTTTGAACGTAAGATAGTGATGAGTATCTCCGGAGAAATTCAAGAAATTGGTATCTAGCATGGAAGAAGAAACACCGAATTATTCCACTTATTTAAAGAACCAGATGTGGTTCGCTACTAAAAAATAAATCTTTTCAACTGGGATGGGCATGTTATCCATAAAAAACACATTAATAGTCAGAAAATTTTTCCCCAGCTAAATAAAAATTAACATGAAAGAATAGGAAGACCTAAACTATGTGGACAGACGCAGTGGAGGAGGACTGTTATATCTTCAACGCTTAACTGGTTAACGCTCAGCGTCATATATTTAGGACAGTTTCTTTTTTCAAAGACATTCATTGAGATGGGAAACTTTTTTCAGCATTTTCATTTATCTGGGTGAATTAAAAGATTCTTAGATACCACGATGATTTAGCTACTTCTGATTAGATCTAGAATTATAAGGAGCAAGTACTTTTTGATTTATCAAAAACTTTTTGAATGCCCTAACAGTGAACAAAAAACAATTAAATTCGATAATATATTTTACCACTTTTTCCATACAACCACTTTTTGTATGATTTCAATATGTAAATTCAGTTCGAAACGGGTTAATATTGGAAGAATTTGGCTGCTAGTAGGAGTGGCCTGGGATGGAAAGCCTTAGTCCACCCTAGGTTGACGCATCACCTCCTACATCAAGAAGCCTCCACACGGTCTTTTATAAGCAATCCACGCAGGCTGTTTAAACAGAGAAACAGTTGTGCGCATGAACCCAAAACCTTTCATAAAAGTCATCATCAATATTTATGTGGGCACGTGGGGCCGTCTTTTATAAAAGTAATTGAGAGAAATTTATCTCATATTTTTGAGAATTGAATCTGTAGTGGTTGACAAGTGAATAAGGCAAACCAATAATATTCATAAATAAAATAAATTTTTGGTCATATATTTGCTACCACTCTCTTATTTTAACTATATTCTATTTTAAATCACTCGTTCGATAAGTGGATATCGTTTACAATGGTCTGATCGAACTACCTGTAAAAAACCATGTGGAGGCTTTCAGTTATAGGAGGCGTTTATCTAAGAACTTCAGATTTAGAACACTTTTGATGAATGCATTACTTCTCTGAACATTTAAAGTATTTTCGTAACTCTATCTCCAAGGAAAGGATGAGAGGAATTTCTTTTCAAGCAGAGTAAATCACATTGTGTAGCAACTTATATATTTTCAATTATTTCGCTTACAGTTAACTACTAACCAGTTTGTAACAATAATTTGTCAATTTAACGAGTACCTAGCAAAAATATATTTTATAAAAATTATAAGAAATGTATTTGTATTGTATTGAATAAAACAAATATGAATAAAGCACAAAACGCGCGCTTTATTCACTTTATTTTGCTTCATACAGTGGTAGAATTATTTTAAACCCTGTCTTCATTGGAATAAATTTTATATTTCTTACAAAAAAATTACACCCAGCAATTCATTTCGAACAAAATTTGAAGATTCCATCCGTACTAAATTTCATTCTTTCTGATTTAAACTTGTGTTAAGGTAACGTTTCCCACACGTTGTCTTATGAAGCAGTTTTCAATAGAAAACGTGTAGTGGACAGAGTTACCTCATATGACTAGATAACTCAGCCTGAGCTAAAGATAATTTCACACATATACAGACAATAATACTTTTTTTTAAAAATAATTTCCTTTATTTAAATCTTCAAACATTTCATACAAGTGTTTGGGCCTGCGTTAACCATAGCCTTCAGTTATATAGTTCATCAGTCAATCTAAAAGTATATTAAAGTTTATGATTTCTTGAGAAAAATAATTGCTATAAATAGAATTTTAATACATATAATACACGTTAAAAAATGTAATGACGAATGGAATAATTTCACTCAGGTTTTCTTATATGTATATTTGACCCTTACTAAAAACTTATGTCTGTATTACCGAGATTAAAGTTCATATTATCCTAACTGTATTACCCTCCCTAAAGGCAAATGGACTGATTATAATAAGCCTTGTATATATATATATATAGGTTCGCTACTAAAAAATAAATC